GGTTAATGAATTCCCGCACACACACACACGGGTTAATGAACTCCCGCATACACACACACAGCGGTTAATGAATTCCCGCACACACACACACGGGTTAATGAACTCCCGCATACACACACACAGGGGTTAATGAATTCCCGCACACACACACACACGGGTTAACGAATTCCCGCGCACGGGTTAATTCCCGCGCACTTGCCGCGCCGCGCCCCCGCCCCCGCCAATCAGCGCGGCGGCCGCGAGCGCTGCCATGACCATATAAGGTAAAAAGCCGCGGCCGCCGCAGTGCCGCTGCGGCGAGCGCGGGTGCGCGCGCGCCGAGGGGCGGGGCTTGCGGCGGAGGGGGCGGGGCTTCCCCGCCCTCCGGTGTCCGCTCCCCCCCCTCCGGTACCGAGCACATGGGTGCGGGCAGCGGGGTCCCGGCGGGTTCGTCCTGCCCCAAAAACACCCCCAGAGCTCTCGCCCAGCGCCGGGAGCCACCGACTCGGCAGCGACAAACCCCAGCCGTAACAAAAGCCTGTAATGGCAATGAAAATCGGCAAGAAAAAGCACATTGAAATAAGTAAAATGTGCCCTTTTCTGTGCTCACCCCGCATCGAGGGTCATCCACATCGCAGGTAATTCCCAGTGAGCCGCAAAACGCTGGGTTTGAGCAGCCACGATGTTATTATGGGACATTTCCCCTGCAGAAATGCAGCAAGTGTATTTTTATGGCTCAGTTTTAAAACCAGCCCAAACCCTGGGCTAAAAGGAAAATTGCTCTTATTTTTTTTTTTTCCTTGAATATAACAACAAGGATTTTGCTGCGGGGAGCTTAATAAGTATCTCTGCTAAACGAGCTCAAAGAGAAATCCAAATGTTATTTAGGGTGTTGAAGGAACTGAAGGAACAATTTCATCAGCCCAGGCTATAAAAATAAATGCGGAACACAGGAACTGGTTAGAGCAGAGCCAGAAAAGCACTGCATTGCAAAAGAACGTGTCAGGCTGGGGGTGAGGGACACAGCTCCTCCAGCTTCCCATGGAACCTCCTCAGATGTGGATATTAAATGGTTGTGGAAGGCAGGAATGGAGCTGAGGGCACCAAGGCAGTGATAAATAGAGGGTGGGAGGAAGAACAGAATGGATGTGAAAATAACACCAAAGATGGTACTAAAAACGCAAAAGGGCACTCAGAATTAGCAGGAATTTCTGCCAGGGACTGAGAAAACACAGAATTATGGAATCACTGATGTTGGAAAAGCCCTCTTGAGACCATTGAGTCCAACTGTTCCCCCAGCACTGCCAAGGCCATCATGTCCCCAAGTGCCACATCCACAAGGCTTTTAAATCCCTCGAGGGATGGGGACTCCATCACTGCTCAGGACAGCCTGTTCCAATGCCTGACAACCTATTCCATGAAGAAATTTTCCACAATATCCAATCTAAGCCTCCCTTTGCACAACTTGAAGCCATTCCTTCTGGGTCTGTCCCTTGTTCCCTGGGATCAGAGCCTATCCCCACCTGAAGGTCCCCCCTGAGCCTCCTTTTCCCCAGGCTAAGCCCCTAATCTCCCTCATCAGATCTGTGCTCCAAACATTGGGATATAAGAGAGGAAAAGAGGGATGCACATCCCTGCCATTGGCATCTGTGCTGTGATGCAGCTGAAGGAGGAATTCCTAATCCAGGGCTGTGCCACCACACATGGTCCAGGCAGGAGGAGGACACGTGGCCTGAGGATGAGCCCTAAGCAGGGAAGGGCTGCTCATCACAGCAGCAAACTGAGCTATTTTGGGAGGTTGGGGTTTGGCTTTTCTGAACACGATGGAGACGTCGCTGCCTCTGCTCTGCCCTGGCCGGGTGGGAAGTTGTGCCCAATCCTGGGCACTAATTCTGTATTCCACAGGGCAGATCTGGAAGTGGAGCTGGGAAAGCAGCTCAGGACTGATGACAGACTGAGGACAACTTAACCACAGGCTTAAGAGAGCAGTTTGAGAGTCACAGAGAAAAGAATGTTGTAAAAAAAAATTATTGATCACAAGAATTTGCTGGTTAGGAATCAGAAAGAGATGAAAAGAATCTCTTTCGGAAGATGGATGTGACTTTTCAATGCAGGACCAGGGACAACAGGAATGCCCTTCTTGGAACCAGCTCATTCCTTTTCATCCCTCTAATGTGGGGCTGCAAGGAGCAATTAGGTTCAGGTGCATTCCTGAATGAATTCTGCAAGGAGCAGCTGGATTCAGAGAGTTCCAGGTTTAACTCTCAAGGAGCAGCTGGACTCAGAGAGTTCTTCAAGGAGCAGTTGGGCTCAGATGGTTCCTGGTTTAACTCTGAAAGTAGCAGTTGGATTCAGGTGGTTCCTGAGCAAAGTGACAAAAAAAAAGCTGAATCCCTGGCGGTACAAAAACATGACTTGATCACACAGAGGCTTCTAAAATACAATTCTACGTGCAAAGTTCTGCCAGAATGAGCTCAGATGAGTCAAGCAAACAGCTTGTTTGTTGTGTTTAATGCACAGGAAGCATCAGACTGATTACAGACACTAAACACATTCATACATGGCACCACCGAGCAGCCGCTGTCACCACAGCCGACACTTCCCAGCCTTGATTATTCCCAAAGAAACGCTGGCATGACAGCACAGCCTGAGCAGGGAGTGAAGAAACCTCCCAGCAGCACTTACCTTGTGCAGAGGCAGCACCAGGAAGGCTCCCCCACCGCTGGCATCCACGATGATGGCCACGAAGCGGGGGTTGACGGCGCAGAAGGAGCTGTCCCAGGTGACGCGGGACACGCGGATGTCATCGTAGCACTGGTCGTTCTTCACCGCCTGCCCGAAGACGTGCCGGAATTTGCTCTGTCGTACCACCCGCCTCATCGTGTCTGCAAGGCACGGAAAAGGAGAGGGTCATTTCCAGGGAAAGGATGTGCTGATTTGTCCAGGAGATTCCTGGACAAGGATTTTGTCATCAGCTCCACGGCCGCGCTTTCGGCGATGCGGATTCGAGCGCCCGTTTGTAGGATCGTGGAATGGTTTGGGTTGGAAGGGACAGAATTCCAGAATGGTTGGGGTGGGAAGGGATGTCTGGAGATCACCCAGTCCAGCCCTCTGCCACAGCAGTGACACAGGAATGCATCCAGGTGGGTCTGGGATGTCTCCATCCACACCCTCCCTGGGCAGTCCACCCTTCCCTCCATGGGAAGAGCTGGAATTCCACATGGTTTAGTTTGTGGTCATTGATCCTCACCCGTTGTTGGGCACTGCTGGAAAGAGTCTGGCACTGTCCTCTTGGCACCAAACACCTCAAAGCTCATCCCATTCCACTGCCATGGACAGGGACATCTTCCACTATCCCAAGCTGTTCCAAGCCCCATCCAACCTGGCCTTGGACACTTGCACCTCCACCTTATGACCTGCCAAATTCTCAGCCAGCTTTGCCTTTTCCTTCTTTTATAAAGTAAAATTTCAGGTTATTTTGCACCCAACCCAACTGCATTTCCAGGGGGCTTTTACAGAATTTGCCAGTTAAGCAATAACTTCCCCATTGTAAATGTGTTCCCCGACTGCAGTAAAGGAAGTTCTTAATCCCAAAAGCAGTTTTTAGACAAGTCTCCACATATTTTCAGGGATAAATCTAGTCTTGGATTGAACTTGTTTACTTTCAAGTCAGACATGGTCCAGAAGATGTAAATAAAAATGCAAGCTCTCAAAATCCGGTGTTCCTGTGAAGTGGTTCCACATGTTCCCTAGCTTCCAGTTCTTTCTTCTAACTCCAAAATCATCCTAAAAAAAGAGTTTCCTAGGCAGAAAGGAGTAATGGAAACAAGTTAATGACTCCAATTAACTTGGTGTGTCTGTAGCATTTCTTGAGAAAAATTATTTTCAAGAATGCTGGAGTTAGAATAGAGGGAAAGGGAATTGGTGTGGAAAATTCCAGCACCTGGGAGAAGACAGAGGCTCAACACAAGGGATACAACCTATGGATCCCTCACATCTGGGAAGGGCTTTTCCCATCATCCCAGACTTTCTCCCTCAAAGAAAAGGGAGGAAAAGAGGAGCCTCCATACAGCATCTTGCTTTTACATATGGGAAAAATATTTTTGTCCCAGTCTCTAGGGATAGCAAAAAAAAAAAAAAAAAAGAAAGAAAAAGTAAAAATAAGCAGAGTCCACCTCCTATCTCGCCTCTCAGGAGGTCCCCAAGCACATGGAGAGGCTGGGAAAAAGTGCTCAGTCCCTGGAGCTCCTCGCTCCAGAGTGAGAGACTGGGAATGTGGTTCTATCCCAAATCCCTGCTCCCAGGCTGGCTGCTGCAAACATGATGAAAGCTTAGAGGGCTGTCTGTGACTGCTTTGCAGGAAAGCACCGAGCCTTGATGGCTGTTTTGTAGTCTGGGAGGTTAAATAAAAAATTCACAAGGACAAAAAGCGGGATAACTGCAGGGAAGCGCTCATCAGAGCCGGGAAATGCCACGGAATGTGTTTGAAGAGGAGGAAAATGTTCCAATTAATGAAACAGACAGCTCTGCAGTGAAACTCTCCAGTTCTGCAGAGATAAGGGAGAAGAAGCAGAGGATTTGTTTTCCACCAGAATTCATTTGGCAGCTGGCACTGGTCACTTCCATAGCAGCTCAGCTGCTGGGACAGGGATGGACCAATGCCACTGGAGCCACCAGTGTGCCCAGTCCATGTGGATTTGGGGTCAGTTTTGTGATGCCTGTCCCAGGTGTGGGGTGGAGGCCACCAAACACCTTCCCACTGAGCCCCAGCACTGGTGACACAGAGCCAAGGGCTCCACAGTCATTCCCAGCCACGGAGAGTAGGTAGGGGTTCCCCACAGTACCTCTTCCACACTGGTATTTTAAAGAGGATTAAGAATGTTTAAGAAAAAAATAGGTTTTAAGTGCAGAATTTTGGGAAGAACTGAGGTGTTTGAGATGTCCACGGAAATGGAAATTGTTAATGATTTCTATCCTATTAAAGCTGAACTTAGGCTCCCTTCCTACTTCCATCAGTTACTGGAATTGTGTAATGCATTTTTTGTCAACTATTTCCCTCAGAGCACAAATCAAAGGCCTGGACACACCCCAGAACACCAGAGTGTGATGGGGAGTCATAAACCAGGAGCTGCTCTCCAGCTCCAGACAGCAGGTGAGAGCACTAAATAAAAACATGGAATGCTTTGGGTTGGGAAGGACCTTAAAACTCATCTCATTTCACCCCATGCCATGGGCAGGGACACCTTCCACCTTTCCTATCCAATCTGGCTTTGGACACTTCCAGCACAATCCCAGCCTCACCAAATCATGCCTAAAGAAAAGGTGAATTTCAACTCCAAGATGCCCAAATGACAAGAACTGTTGTAGTCTCAAGGTTCATTTAAGACACATCATTAAAAACACAGTTCCACACCCAGTTACTGATTTGTGTCGACTCATTCTTAGCCCTGTCACACAATTCCATCCCCAGGGCTCCTCCCAGAGCTGGGAGGGCTCAGCTGAACCTCTGAGTCCACGGCCAGGTGTGGCACTGAGCACCACACAAGAGCAGCGTCACCCTCATCTTCCCACCATTCCAGATGACCCCAGGCCACCACCAGGATATTGGGAATGTTCTGGGACACCACCAGAATTTGTGCCCAGCTCAGCCCTTTCCCACCTTGCAGCAAAACCTTCTCATCATCCTCCTGCACAGCTCATCCAGGAGCAGGGAAAAGGCTCCTGCTTTGTGCACGGTGGATTTCCAGGAGTGTTCATCCCCTGGCAACATTCCCACCCTGCTGTGAGTCCAGATTAAAATCAGATTGTTGGGAAGAAGGTAAAGTGAAGGTTTGAACTTGTCGTGCTGAGCCAGCACAGCAAATTGCCTGGAATTAAATCCCACAGAGCCAGGGGCTGGGAATGGGGCTGCTCCAATGCTGGGAATTCAGAGGTGATGGTTACAAAGGATTATTTGTATCACTTGGATAATTGTATCTCTTCTTCACTTGATCAATACCAGAACAGCAGGAAAAAATGTTCATTTCAAATATCAGATCTTCGGGATCTGTCACCCCATCCACTTCCATGGAAGAGAAACTCCCTTTACCCCATGGTGAAATCCTACTGCTTTATTTCCCTCATTTTCACCCTTTGATACAAAGGCTAATCATTCGGTTTTCTATAAATGACTTTTTAAAAACACAAGAGAGTTCAGATGCCTCCAAAAATATCCCTATTTGTTCCAAAGGGATCTGTTGGAACACACCTTCCCTGCCCTCTTCCCCACCTACAGCTCATCATCCTTAGCAGGGACTCTGTGATGAACACATGGTGAGCAGCCTCCAAGTGCTCATTTCCATAGCAAAGGGAGTGATTCTTGGCGTTGGATCAGAGCCATTTTGATCTGGCTGCTCTCCAAGCAGAAGGAGGGGGGGAATGTGCTGGTTGTGCTTGGAAGGAGCAGCGACTGCAGCTCTTTCAGCTCACCAGGGAGAGCAGGTGAAAAACCCAACGGGGGGACTGGGAGCCTGAGCACCCCAAAAGAGTCCTAGCCCTGCCACAGACTGTCCCTAAATGGGAAGGGTGCTCAATCTCCTCTTTGTTTCTCAATCCTGCAGTGAAGAGGATCCCCTCCCTTCTCCTCTTCCTCCTCACCCATCTCCAAGAAGATCCAGAGCTCAGTTTGGTTGGCACAGGTTCTCTCAGCAGAGTCACGGGCAGGAGCTCCAGGCTTGGCCAATTCATGGAATGGTTTGGAAGGAACCTGAAAGGTTCAGTTCAGGGACACCTCCCAGCCTGGCCTTGGACACTTCCAGGGATCCAGGGGCAGCCTCAGTTTCTCTGGGAAATCTGTGCCAGGGCCTCCCCACCCTCACAGCCAGGAATTTCTTTCCAATATCCCATCTAAACTTACCCTCTTTTGTCTTAAAGCCATTCCCTGTGCCCTGCCACTCCACCCCTTGTCCCCAGTCCCTCTCCAGCTCTCCTGGAGCTCCTTTAGGCACTGGAAGGGGCTCTGAGGTGTCCCTGGAGCCTTTTCTTCTCCAGGTGAACACCCCCAGCCTGGTTCCAGCCCTCAGAGCAGCTCCGTGGCCTCTCCTGGACCTGCTCTAACAGCTCCATGTCTTTTTTGTGCCACTTTTAGCATTATCAGGTGAGACACAAACACCTGAGATGATTCACCCTAACGAAAGGCTGATTCAGCCTCTATGACACTTGCAAAAGGATGACCTGGGTGGTTCAGGGAACTTTAGGAAGTGACTTTGGAAATACCCAAGTGGGTAAGGAAGTGGATCCATGGCTAAGGGGGCTATGCTGGGGATTTTCTCTTAGGAAGTAGACTTGGAGCATAAGCATTAAAAAAAAAGAAGTTAATTACATCATTATCTATGCTGTTAAACCTTGGCTGAGGAACCATCTCCATCCACTTGCTAGATAGAATATATTTTTGGGGGGTAAAGTGCAAATTTAAAGGATTTAAAACCTCCTGACTGGGAGCTGAAAGGCCTTTAAATTTTGCCAGAGTTACAACCCTCAGCAAAATTAAAACAGAAGCATTGGACACCCTGCAAAGGCCTCCACAATAGAAGTGCTGACAGATCTACGGCTGCTGAGCTCCTGGATCCCTGTGAGCTCGGCCACACACGGCATCTTGGTGGGGACAGAGGAATGAGCCTCCAAATCTCCTATTTATTCCCTCCTTGAGTGACTTCCAGCTGAATTTTACCTAAACTTTGGGTTCATCTGCCAGTCTGAACAGCCCAGCCCTTGTGGCAGTTTCTAAAAGGAGCTTGGAAAGGCTGGATGCCACCGGCCCCGCTCACACAGGGATACTTTTCATTCCACTCCTTTCTGATCTCCCATCATGATGTGTCACAAGAGCTACCATGAGTTTGCCCATTTT